GACAATGCGAGTCACCCAGCGTTTCACACTCATTTGTTATGTGTATGCTTGTCTCTGCCTAAACAAGAACCAAGATCTTGCCTCGATGACATTCACTTAGAGACCGTGATTAGCTGGGCCCCTAACAAGTGCCTTTCAGCAAAAAAGAGAATTATGTTTTGTGCCACCTTCCGTGAAGCTCATCCACTTTGGCCACTGGTGATGTCCCTGGACCACAAAGGACATATCTCCCCCCGTCCGCAGACAGTGAGCCCACCAACCCCGCAATTCCGTGAAGGTCAGAGTGAAACCCAAGCTTTTGTTTTTAAAGAGTGAGACCAACTTCCAAGTGCTTTTACTTTGTTTCGCCTTTTCCACGTGGTCATCTCGCAGGTTCTCCAACAAAATGTTGTTGAGTTTAAACAGCCGGGGGGGGTGGGCTTCATCCGTGTGTCCGCCCACACTCCCAGGCCGGGGCGCCCCTGGCGGCCTTGACGGGGGAACGCTTCCCGCTGCAGTGCCCCCGTCTCGTCTTGGGTCACGTCATCCCCAGAATTTGTTGTTGTTGTTAATCCTCATGTGAGGATATTCTTTCCTTTGATTTTCAGAGAGTGTGGAAGGAAGGGGGGGAGAGAGAGACACATATCCGAGAAACATATCAATTGGTTGCCTCCCGCAAGTGCCCCGATCTGGGCCGGGGATCGAACCTGCAACCCAGGCATGTGCCCTTGACTGGAATTGAACCTGAGGCCCGTTGGTGCTCGGGCCGACACTAACCACTGAGCCACAGCCGCCAGGGCCCTCGGGCGTCTGTTAAGGGCCTCCTAAGCTGTTTTCACTCACAACACCTACGACACCAAACGTGTGAGTTTTCACACCACCAACCGGTTCTCCAGCCCCCGCTGCGTGTCCTGCGATTCATTCCCTCCCGACACTAACAGCCCAGAGTCCGCGCAGACCCACAGGCTGGAGGCTCGGTCCCCCGAGGCTGCCCCACTCAGACGCCAGGCTCCAGTCCCCGGCTTCTGACCAACTCACTATACCTCAGCGGTTCCCACGACTCCTCAGTTTTGACAATTTTCCCGAACAGCTCACAGAACTCAGGAAAATACTTTACCTACTAGGTTCCTGGTTTATTATAAGGACACGCTCAGGAACAGCCAGGTGGAAGAGACCCATGGGCAGGGCGCGGGGAAGGGCGCCGGCCTCCACGCCCTCTCCTGGCCACCCCTCCCAGCAGCTCCATGTGGGCCTGATTGATCATTAGCCACTGGTGAGGAACTCANGCCCTCTCCTGGCCACCCCTCCCAGCAGCTCCATGTGGGCCTGATTGATCCATCATTAGCCACTGGTGAGGAACTCAATCCCCAGCCTCTCTCCCCCCGGAGCCTGGGGTGTGGGGCTGAGATTCCAGCCCTCTAATCTCAGGCTGGTTCCTCGGGCTACCAGCCCTCATCCTGCAGAAACCTAGGGGCTGGTGCCACCTCCTTAGCGTGGACCGAGGTATGGCTGACAGCAGCTTGGTGTGAATGGTAAGATGCTCCTGTCACTCAGGGAAGCCCGAGGGTTTCAGAAGCTCTGTGCTGGGAACCAGGATAAAGACCAAATATATGTTTTGTGTTATATCACAGATGTGCCACGGCCCAGGCACTGGACCAGGGTCAGGGACACAGAAAAAGTCTCCTGGTCCTGGGGCAGTGTCAGGGGGCCACGTACAGGGCAGGCCAAGGAGAGCAGAGCTGGAGGTGACGAGGGTCGTGTGGGAGCAGGGAGGGTGGCTGGCAACCCTGCCCAGAAATAGTGGTGAGGGGGGATGTCAGGGGGGCTCCGGGAGGAGGGCCACCCAGTGGGCACCTGGCCGGGAATAAACACCTGCAAAAGGAGAGAATGAGGGCGGGTCGCTTTTGGAAGGCGTCCTGTGTAGCACGTGGACATCCCCCAACCCCAGTTAGACTCCTCCCAGGCTTGGTGGCAGCCCCGCCAGCGTGTCTCTGGGGGACGGGCTCCCACAGGCTGTGAACTCTGAGAAAGGCAGGCCCGGAGAATCGGTAATCGGGACAGTGTGTTAGGACAGAACTGAAAAACGGATCACACACATCGGGTCGGGGCAGAGAAAGCTCTGTGCCACCCACCCTCAGCACTGGCGATACAAGGACACAGCGGGGACCGTAATGAAGTGAAAGCGACCAGCAGGATCCTGATGAGTCCCCAGTAAGGGCTGGGAATGTCAGATTAAGCTTCGCTGACACGGATTTCCGTGTTGCTTTCTGTGTGCACCAATACCAAAGCCCTTTGGGGTCTCACGGTGACGATTACTTGCCAGGGAGATGCCAGCTGCCTGCCCCAGCCACACTCTCCGGGGTTGTCTGAAACCTTTATCGTCTCGTGTTCTCTGCCCTGCGCCAAGGCCCAGGCAAGCCCTTCCACGCAAACGCGTCTCCACTAGCACGACACGCAGAGGGGAGCTGCCGCCCCTCCAGGCCAGCAGGGGCCTCCATCCCACACCCCCCGCCTTGCAAACCCACTGGGCTGGTGTATATTAGGAAGTTTAATTAGCAGAAAGCGAATCTGTGGGATCCCTGCTGGTGCCCAGGCTGTGACCCCGTAGGGCTGGATGTATCTGAACAAATGTCATTGAGACTCTGTGCACGAGGACAGAGGACAGCTCTGCTCCCAGGGGGAGAGAGGTGCAGGGGAGGAAGTCTGGTCCCCTCGTGGAGACTGAGTACCTGAAGCCCCAGCAAGAATCCCGAGATTACTGTGGGGCTGCTTACGTCCCAGGCAGGAGGTGGTGTGGCTCCCTCCCGAAGAACCTGAGTTCCAGGGCAGACAGGCGAACACCTGCGCCAAACTCACAGTGCCAACAGGGAGGGGTGGGGCAATGGAAGCTGGGGAGGCACCAGGTGCCCGTGAAAGGTGCAGTGCGGAGAAAATGAACATTTAACGAACACTACCAATCGCTAGGAGCTCTGCCGTGTACCAGCTGAGCTGATCCCCTCATACACCCCATGAGGTGGGACTGTTAGGGACTGAGGCTCAGAGAAGCCAAGAAACCTGGACATCGTCACACAGCTGGTGAGAAGCTCAAGGCTGTCTATCAGATTCCAAAGTTCATATGATGTTTCCAGTAAGTCTTTGTCCAAAATACACCTTTATTTCCCTGCGTGTGACTGGGCCTCCTGTGGCAGTGACTTGGGCACAGCAAGGTGGGCTTGATCCTGGCCTTGACATTCTTAGCCCAGCAAGAGTTCAGTGCCCAGGGGATGGGGCCACAAGGATTGGAAATGGGCACCCACAACGGGCAGAGCGAAGGGTGGTCTTGGGGCCCTGCCACTGCTCTGGCCTTGGGAGTGGGGTCAGGAACCCCAATGATGCTCAAACCCAGTGTGATCACTTGGATAAATGTGACGTTTCCCTCACAACCGATCTGTGGGGTAAGACCCAAACTAGCACACATACACCTATTTACATATGTGGTGACTGCTTTTGTTTTATTGGTGGTGGGGGAGTTCATGAATATTCCTTTTTATGACGAGCCTGCTTTGTGCCGGGTAGAAGACCGTCCAACAGATTTCTGTCACTTTTCACCTTTGAATGAATGAAACATGTCAGTGTCCCTGAAGAACACGTTTCCTGGGCAGTGGGAAGAAAGCAGCACAGAAGCGTGTTCTAGACAAGCAGTCAGTCGGAGAGAGAAGGTGGCCGTGGGGAAGGGGTGGGAGGGGTGTCCCCGGGGCTGGCAGGGCTCCATCTCCCACCCTGGAAGGAATTCAGGTGTTGCCTTTGTCACATGGAGACACAGCCACACTGCCCCCTGGTGGTCCTTCCATCACCTACACGCCTCTGAAGTGGGAGGGGACTGGAGAAGCTGAGAGGAGAAGTCCTCTGAGGCCCTGGGAACCCACATCCCAGGAGGGGAGGCCAACACGCAGCATGGGGCAGGGCGGGAAGGGGAAGGGCTCCTCAAGGCTCTCGCACGACGGTTTGCTTCAGTCCAGGCCCCACTCTGCGGCCTGGGCAGGCTGATTCAGGTACCGTCCAGGTGCTGGCCAGGCCCCTCTCTGGATGTTCTCTACAGGGGTGGCAGCTGGCTTGGCATTGAGTCCGAGATCTCTGTTGGTTCCTCTTAGGCTCCGGGATTCCACCCCAGTCACCTCTGAGGCCTGGCTGGTGCCCTTCTAAAGAGAGGACATTAGGGCAGGAACATGTGCTCACAACAGATGGAGGACCACGTGAAGACATGGTGAGGAGGCACCATCTGCAAGCCAAGGAGAGAGGCCTCAGGGTAAACCAGCCCCGGCAACATCTTGATCTTGGACGTCCAGCCTCCAGACTGAAACACTGAATTTCTGTCGTCTAAGTCAAGCAGCCTGTGACACTGTTATGGCAGCGCCAGCAAACGGATATGATTGCCCAGCTCTGTCCCAGACCCATGGCAGAGGCAATGGCAAAGACATATTTTAGCCTAGCCAGGCGTGACACAGTGGTTGAGCATCAACCCATAAACCAGGAGGTCACGGTTCGATTCCCAGTCAGGGCACATGCCCGGGTTACAGGCTTGATCCCCAGCAGGGGGCGTGCAGAAGGCAGCCGATCAATGACTCTCATCAATGTTTCTTTCTCTCCCTCTCCCTTCCTCTCTCTGAAAATAGTAAAGATATATTAAAAAAAAAAAAAAAGACACATTTTATTTGGATGACATTTCTCATTCCCAGATCATATAAGCTAAAGGGAACTGTTCTGAATATGTTCCATAATGTTCTCAAATCCAAAGTGTGTCCATGAGATGACCCAGCAGTAAGAAAGCCCTCTGTGAGGTCATCAGCCTGGAGTGTCCGTGAGATGACCCAGCAGTAAGAAAGCCCTCTGTGACATCATCAGCCCGGAGTGTCCATGAGATGACCCAGCAGTAAGAAAGCCCTCTGTGAGGTCATCAGCCCGGAGTGTCCGTGAGATGACCCAGCAGTAAGAAAGCCCTCTGTGACATCAGCAGTCCGCCGGGCCAGAACTCCACAGATGGAGACTTGCAAGCTCTTCAATGCGGAGCTGCCGCCATGCCTCACTTTGCAAGCCCTCTTTTAAGAAACATCATCATCAGGAGTCCGTTTGATGGCATCAAGAAGAAGCAGTGCCTCCAGTATTTGAAAACCCTGAGAACACTGCAGTACGATGGGTTTAAGACCGTGTTTCTGGGGGAAACAGAGATCCCCGAGAGCCTCGTCACTGGGGAGGATTTTAGTGCAGGGCTTTGCATGCAGAGTCCGACTTGGTATGTGGTGCACGCGGGGGGCAGCCAGGGGTGGGTGCCTTGGAGATACCGGGTGCTCCTGAAAGATGAGCGCAGCGTCCACCCGGAGGAAGGCCTCTTCCTTGAGCTCTGCGCTGCGGTGCAGAGGGCCTACGGGAAGTGCGCCATCGTGGTCAAGGACCCCAGGCCCCAGGGGGACAACGAGGCCGAGGCCCAGGCCCGCGCATCCTCGGTCATTAACCTAAGGAGCATCGCCTGCTGCCCTGAGGTGGCCAAGTCCTGTGGCCACGAGCTGCTCTCTCTGCCCTCCCCGTACAACTCCCTGAACCCTCTGGACTTGGCCTGGTCTTCCCTGAAGTGGTTCATCATCAACAACAGGAAGGAGCTCTGCCTGAGGTCCATCGACAGCACCTGTTCCTACCAGCTCATCCTTTTCAGTGACCTGGTTAGCAGAGGGTTGGAGAGGCTGAACCTGGGCAAGTGGAGGACGCTGATTAACAAAGTGCGGAGATGGGAAAACTACTACCTGGGGAGGTTTTCCTAAGGGCGAGGCCTCCCAGCAGCAAGACTGCATCCCAAACTCGGTCCTGACAGCCGACTCCCCAGGGTGTGGCTTGGGACCAAGGCAGCTACAGATACTGCGCCGCGACCACCCAGGGATGCTGTGAGGCAGGAGGTTCCTAAGAGTGCTGGAAAAATGCCCCAGGCTCATTAAAGCTTCTTGGTAAATTAGGGTCCTGATTTGACTCCCATCTTGTTAAGGCGACATTGAGGGCTCAGCTCAAAGGAGCTTGTGGTGAGCGAGGGTGAGCCAAGCTAAAGAATGTGGGATCAAAATTTAGGTCTCAGAAAGAAAAAGACCAAGTGTGCACCCCTGAGAAGTTGAAATTAAGTAGTGTGCCAACCAGTTTGAGCTCACAAAGTAATCCAAGGGAGCCAGCTTGCCACTGGCCGGAGATGGGGTCCAGAGGGTGGCTGACCAGGCTCCTTCCTCCCCATTGCAGGGGGCGAAGGGCGACCGAGAAGCATCCAGGGAGGTGACACCCCACCCAAGTGCTCCAAGGCAAGGTGGTGGCCCAGTAGGAACCTGGGAAACTATGACAGTGACTGGTTCACGTGGGACTTGGCGGGTGAAGGGATGGAGAGATGGGGAGTCTGCAGAACCCACTTACCTAGTCCATCTCTTACCCCAACCACCCTGACAGGAGGCCCCTAGATTCTCACTTGCGTCCTGAGCTCTGACAGCTGAGTGCCTGGGGCTGGTACATCAGCACCTATTCAGGTCTGGGGCTGCAGCTCCTGTGGGTCGTTTAAGGATGTGGGTGGTGCTTCGCACTTTTGTTGAAAAAGCCCTGCCTCCTAGTAAATGTAAAGTTTATTCTTTTTAAAATATATATATTTTTATTGATTTTAGAGAGGGAGAGGGGGACAGAAAGAGAGAGAAACAAACACAGATGTGAGAGAAACAGGTCGCTGCCTTCTGTGCCTCAACTGGGGACTGAACCCAAAACCCAGGGATGTGACCTGACCTGGAATTGAACTGGCAACCTTTTGGTGCACAGGACGGTGCTCAACCAACCGAGCCACTCCAGCTGGGCAGGGGCAGTTTGTTTAACCCTCCGGACACCCTCACCGGGCAGGGTCTGTCACTGCCCCATTTTACAGATGAGGAACAAACACCGAGAAGTTCCTCGACAATCAGGTTCCAAGGCCCTCCTGCCCCCTGGCCCCCCCCGCTTGGAGCCATTTTCTTTTTCGCCCCACAATTCACACGGCATCAGGCTCACCTCTGACATCAAACCAGACAGCTGGCGAAACGCCACCTCCAACTAGACGCTGCCACAATATGTCAACACAAGCTGAGCAGGAAGCGGGAGACTCAAAGCCGCGGTTTTACAGCGCGTATGTGAGAGGATTTTGGGTTATCAGGTGAACATAAAGCAGCAGAGCTGTTTTTGTTTGAAAAGCAAAACTACCTAGTACCATGAGCTTAGGGTTCTACCCCTCTGCAGCCTGTCTAACCGTGAGAAAGGCAGGCAGGGGAAGGAGACTGTCCCTGTAAGCGGAGGACCGGGAGGAACAGGTTCAGTGTTTAGTGACATGTCTCACACCTGTGCACCCAGCACGGAGACTTCCAGCAGAAAGCACCGGAAGGTGCTCTGGGCCCCAGGGATCCAAGGGGCTGAGGTGGAATCTCAAGTTTCCAGCTTACTAGCTATGAGACTTTTGAACATGTTACTTTGCTTCCCTGAGGCCCAGTGAACTACTAGTGAGCGAGGGTTGAGGGCCTTGAAACGCTTGGCTCCCACCACCCCGCAGTGCCCGCGCCTCAGCGGGGTGCTCCTGCCACAGAGTCCGGGCTGGGCGAGTGCGCCCACGTTTACCTGACACTGACCTCATTACTTCCTCTCTCTTCGAGGGAAATCCTCCACCACCAGGCAAGGGCAGACACCTCTGACGATACTCTGATCAAAGGAAACCTAGTTCTGGGCCTTTGAGACCCTCGGTAGTGAGAGTTAATCTCCGGTGGGTGGGCATGGAGGGTGGTGAGCACAGCCCGAGTCTCTTGGGGAGTAGCTGCGTGCTGTGTGAAATAAATGGTGGGTGACTATGACAGGGACCCTGCATGTGTGGACAAGTCCCCTGGACAGGCCTCATGCTGTGGGTGGCTGTTCTCCTCCTGAGGGTGGCTGACGGACACCTGTCCTCTGGCCCTCACCGTCACCAATGAGGACATCCCCACCCCCTCCCACAGATGAAGTGAGGGCCGTGCTGCCCTGGAGCGAGCCCAGACGCCCTACCCCCTGAGAAGGTCCAGGCTTAGCTGGGTGGACAGAGCCAGGCCTGGCCTGACGGGCTCCTGCCCATCCAGGCATGTACTCTCCATTTCATTGTTTTACAGACATGACCACTTTTACATATGTGACCTCATTCAGGCAGACAAGCCCCTCGCACACAGGCAGGGCAGTGAGTGCTGAGCTCACTTTACAGCTGACACAAGGAGGGGGCACTAGGTCATCAGGCTGTGAGGAGTGGAGACCTAACCACAGAACCTTAAACAAAATAAAAGGAACCCCACCTCACCCCCACAAAGTGGCAGTTGAGAGCTGTGCTGGACCCATGGTCAAGAACTAGGGACCCATTTTTATTCCTATCCCAGACTCGGTTCCCTCCTCAGTCACTTTATTGTCCACAATGGCTGCAGTTAGACCCTGCTCACGCCACCCCCAACCCCCGCCATGAGCCCACAGCCTCCCGCCGACTTCAAGGAGAAAACAGGCAGAGGGCCAAGATCCTGGCAGGAGGGAGAGGGGAAATGTATAGGGAGGGCAGCAGGTTAGGGGGTGCAGGGGTGGGTTGAGCAGCAGAGGCCTCCTCCCCACAGCACTGGCCACTTCTGCAACCCAGCCCCTGGGGGGGGGGCATGGGGGGGGAGAGCACCTTCCTTGGGGTGCGGGTCTGCAGACTCCCTGCTCTCCCAGCACAGGGTGTGTGAGAGACAGACACACACACTCCACACCGGCCTGTCCCAAAGACCAGAGGCACCTTTTTACAAAAGTATTTTATTTACTAGAGAAAATGAGGGTTCTTTAAAAGCATCTAATGGTTCACATCACTTTAGTTAAAGCTTCAGGCTGAGTTCAACCTCTGGCACGTCCCTCAGCAGTGAAGAATTCCTTCTCTTCTCAGCTGGAGTCCTCGGAGGTCAAGTGCAAATCTAGGGAAGATGAACCAGCAGTAGGTAGGAAACGCCTGATAGAACAACTGGAGCATCTTCCTTGCTCAGTGTAAGGCTCACATCCAGCTACGGAGACTCAGCACACACACTGGAGCTCGTCTGCTCACGAGTGCACTTTCTTTTTATTGTTTCCAGAAAAGGGCTTTCCCCCCCTGTACTTTCAGAATTACAATTTTCCTTCCATCAAAAAGCCCCCAGCTCTGAGCTCAGCTGTTGGCCTCTGGGCCCTCGTGGAGGCAGGGGTGTTTGGGGTGAAACCTCACTGCCTTCTCAGTTTTGAAGTGTTTCTGTGGAAAGGGCCCCCCTCACCTTTTCATTTGGACGGGCTCCCTCCTCCCCACGGAGCGCCTGCTCTGGGTTCTGGTGGATGAAACATCTCTTTAAAAGGCGAGCATCTGTGACAGTAACTGCTTCTGCTTGGCGAGCGCCTGCAGCTCCCTGAGGACCGTGGTCAGAAAGGCCTGCCGGAGCACGGGTGGTGGTGAGGGAG